TGGTTTTTGAGGGCTATGATGTCAATATTGCAATTCTTGGCCCCCTTGGATGGCAATGGTTTTCCTGTCGGGTGCCTTTCATGATCCCTTTTTGATTCTTCCTCTACAACCAGGGGGCTTCGTTAAACTTGTGGCAATACCCTTAGCCCTGTTTTTGGCTCTTCCCACCTTGTATTTCTGTTCTTTTGACCCTGTAATTTTGCTTTATCTTCCTCTGGGAAGATTTCTTTTTTCTTACAGGTTTTATTTACTACGCATGTAACTAATTTTTTTAATGAAATTTGGGCTTTATGCCCTCTAATTTCCCAAAAAAAAAACCATTACTGTCATTGTACGATCATAATTTTGACATATTCAAAGTTATCAAATCCTTTTAAAAGAAAAGTCAAAATAACAAAAAGAAATTTTCCAAAAAAAAAAAAAGAACTACTAAAACTTATTTGCAAACGTCAAAATCAAATCAAATAAAATTCTCCAAATTTAGGCTAAATCTTATGTTTTTCAGTCTATTTAACTAACTTATATTAATATTTATGTATTCAAAAATAAAGTTTTTAATATATATAGCATGAATTAAGAAAATGGGTAGATATTTATGATAATATTATAACTACTTATTTAACTTTATATTATATACTAAATTTCATATAATATATAATGTTAAAAATTTCATTAAACTTATAAATTACATTACAAAAATTCCATTCAACTAATCTGTAATGTAATTTCCTAATTTATAGGTTTTTAATGAAAATTTTAATAAATAACTAATATAGCATGAATTAAAAAATGAGTAGAATATTTTTATTCTAATATTTAAATACTTATTTAAATTCTATGTTATATACTAAACATTTAAATAATATATAATGTTAATTTTATTTTAAAAATATATTTACCTATAATAATTTCTAAAAAAATCTACTCATTATGAATTAATATTGTATATCAAAATTTTTTTTAAATGTTTTAGATTTATAATAATTTTTTTTTTTGTATTTGTTGTATGTGATAATATTAAATGTAAGCCTTTGTATTGGTGTTATATTTAAATTGTTAGTAAACTTAAGTTCACTCATAAAATATTTTTATATAAATTATTTTATAATTAAACATTATATTATATATATTTATATATGATTATAAATCCTAACTTTTTTTTAATGAATTGAATTATTAGTGGATAACATGAATTTTTTAATGAGTTAGCATTATATATTATATAAATTTTAGTATGTAATATAAATTTAAACTAAATAGTTAAATATTACAATAAGTATCTTATAATTTCTATAATTCATACTATATTATTTACTTATACCAATAAATCTAATCTACAGTTAAATATAATATGTAAATATACATTTATTTCATAATAAAATCTTTAGTTTAATGCATAGATATTAAATATAAGTTAGTTAAATAAATTGAGCTAGATAAGATTTTGATTTAATATGTAAAATAACAAATTGTAACATTAGAATATTAACTTTAAAATTCGGTCCAAACAAAGATGCGGGAATCATTTTCCACATTCTGTTGAATGTGGGAAAATAGAATGTGGAAAATAGTTTTCCGCTTCCATGGGGAAAATTGTTTTTCCACATCCTATTGAACGTGAAAAGAATTTCCGTTATTAATTTTCCGCATTCTTAAAAATCAAAAAACTATTCACTTATTCAGCATGTGAAAATTGATTTTGCACATTGCTCTTTTATATTATCTCTCAAAAATGTTTCTTTCGGTTAATTAATTAGCAAGTGCTCTTTTTATAAATTTGCCTTTCTCCTATGCCAAAATTGAGAATGATGCTTGACGTCTTAACCTTCCTGTGAGTAGCCTATGTTCAAAGTCCAAATTGGCATGCTTTTTGCTTCAATAGGAACTTTCATGAAGAAAAGCTTTGAAACTTTTTGGCCTTCTGAGAGTATTATTCAAAACTTGAAGGAGAAATTGGGAAAGATCTGATAGAGACAGAGAGGCACAGAAGGCAGTTTTTATTAGATTTTATGTCACATCTCGATTTGTTAGATATGTATGTGATATGGAATAGTAAGACAATAAATTCAACTCATAATATAATCTCAATAGTCTAAATTAAATAAATAAATTGATTTTGTAATTTTTTAAAAATTAATAAATAAAAGAAAGAATAGAAATATATGTGATATTAGAGTATTTATATGTATAATGAGGAAAATATATAATGTTTTCCCATATGAAATAATATTTTTGTGAGTAAAATATAAATTATTTTGCTCTTCGCTCAAATGGAGAAGATGAGCTTTATATATTATTGGACCTCAAGTGATATATTACCCCACCAGATTAGTTGGGCGAGCATGATGGGAACCCCCCTACTCATGTTTGAATTCCCTCTCATGCGCACTACTCTTAAATGGGGAGAAAATAACTGCGGATCCTGCAATTGTGCATTTGGTTGCTAGTAGGCTTGCTGATGTATTAATTTATGCCGCTAAGTGCCTCCTAAGGGAGGGGGGGGGGGGGGGGGTTTGACAGGAGGGGGTAGATACCCCCTATTTATTTATTTATTTTGATATATTTTAATTATAGTAAAATTTGCTCTAAAAGTAATGAAGAGTGATGATAGTGATCATACAATATCAATAAAAAACATGAGGATAGATTGACGGCGGCCAACCCACGTCAATTGGATGATGAAAATTAAACGAAGGTGGATGAGTGACATCGAATGGGCGAAGACAATCGTGCAATGGTAGTAAGGTGATGGTGAATGGCCTATGATAGCTAAGTGGCGGTGGTCAATAGTATTGAGATGATGACAACAGCTGGTGATAATCATTGACATCAAATATTTGGTAGAACTATATGATTTTTAATATCTCTAAGCTCTATGCAATCTCAAGTTTAGGTCCAAACTCTCCCTTATGTGAAGATTCGGAGCTCATTTATAATTTTTGATGTAGTGTTTTATTTATTTTTGCTTGACATATTAAAACACTCCATTATATAGCCTGTGCTGATTTCATTAATTTTTAATTTTTTTATAGCATTTAAATGCATTGATAACATTAGAATCAAATGGTCTTGAACTTGCTGGATTTCTTTTATGGAGATGTCCGTTTTGAATATAAATAAATAAAAAATGGAGTTCGTTATTGATGTCTCAAAGTTTCCAACAAATCACTTTTAGTATTGTTGGACTCAAATCTTCGTGTTGTTGTGTAATAGTCCAAACTCTTAACTATTGAGATATTATCCGCTTTGACCTAAACTTCTCGCGGTTTTGTCCTGTTGGTGTAACTTCCCAGTAAGTCACCCATCCCAAAATGCTCTGAGATGAGCATGCTTAACTGTGAAATTTCTTAAATGAAATTCTAACCATTAGATAAAAGATATCTCGATGTTTAAAAGTTTAGCTTCTTTTTAATTAAGGGGTTTCACATGTTGGCCATCAACCATGTCTTACCAGAATATTTAATTTGACTATAAACTTGGTCAAATCAAAACTCAGATGATCACTTTTAATGTCAATGAGAAGATCTTACCAAGATGGAATTATTTCAGGCATCACTTACCACTTTATTAACCAAAATCTGTCACAAATTGACTTTCCTTATTGTACTATATTCTTTGCAGTCTTATTTCTTTTAAAATCTCACTTATTATATATGTGTAGAAGACACAGCTTTCTTTGTATTGGTTGCCGTTTGAATTAATATGTCTAATCAAAATTTGGTCATAAATCTAAAAGGTATTGAATTTATTTCAAAGTACATGTAATATATAAATAAATAATTAAAATAATCATTACACTCATTTAAAAGTAACAACAACAAGCATTTATCTCACTACGTGGGGTTGGTCACACGAATCCTTTCTCTCCATTGTGTTATGTTAAAAGTCAAATTCTCATTTAAATCATCTACTCTCCTAATCGGATCATCAGGAGGTTGATATTTAAGGTGACTCTCTCTAATCTTATCTTCCACTGGAGTTACTCCAACCTTTTCCGTATACACTCATTTCGTATCTTGTCTATAAAAGTAAAGCCACTCATTCACCTGAGCATCCTCATCTCTGTAGCACTTAACTTAATATTATGTTTGTCTTTTAATGGCCAACATTCTACAACATAAACATTGCAAGTCTCGCCACCATCTTATAGAATTTTCCCTTAAGTTTGAGGAGACTTTTCTATCACTCAATAAGCCCAATGCATTCCTACACTTCAAACATTAAACTTGAATTCAACTAATAATATTCCCATCTATTTCACCGTCACTCTGAACAATAGACCCAATATATCTAAAATGTGTATTCTTATTAATGACTTGAACGCCCAAAATCGCAATCCCCCCACTATATCTATTACAACTAAAACTATACTCCATAAGTTTAATTTTAGATCTACACAAACAAAAACTTTAGACTCTAAGGTTGAACTCAATAATTCAAGTTTACCTTCAACTCTCTCTCTAGTTTTATCAACAAGAAGAATATCATCAACAAAAAACATATACCAAAGTACAACCTCTTGCAAATGTCTAGTGAGAACATCCATGACTAAAGCAAAAAGATATGGGCTTAAAACTGATCCTTGATATAATCCAACTGAAATAGGAAAATATTTGGTCAAACCACCTTGTGCTTGAACACAAGTACAAGCACATGCATACAAATCCTTAATGACTTGAATACAAGTATTATTAACTCCTTTCTTTTCTAAAACTCTCAATAGCATTTCTCTTGAAACTTTATCATGTATTTTCTCTAAATCAATAAATATCATATGTAGATTCTGCTTATACCCTTTTTTTTAACTGTAACTTATGCTGGAAAAGCAATATATATTAAACAAAAACCTAATTTTAAATTCTATAAGACAACTGTAACAGAGCAGACACTTTCACAATTCATTAAATTAACACTAAAATTTCTTTTAAACCTTACATTTTTTTCCTCGAGCTTCACTTTACTCCCTTAAGTGTATGAACACTACATTTGAGTCTCTCAAAGCCTCAATTTGTGTTCTTAATTTCTCTGAAACCCAAATTGTAGCAAACAAGCCAATCCAAGTTCGAAGACAAACAGAAATGCAATCAATTCAGTCTACTTCTGCAACATTAAAGCCCATAACATAACATTTGTAATGTCATTACAGACTGAAAACAAGTATAGCATGCTGCAAAATCATCTATGGCGATTGGAAACTTCCTTTTCAATGTTGAACATCAACATAAATAAGCATATGCCAATACCTACAAACAGTAAAGCCATCAACATAAATAAGCTCTTATATAAATAATTAATCCTCCGGAGAAATTATTCTGTTTGGAGACCGGATGCAGAACGTCGTCCGGAGACCAACCAGAATACGTCACGTCAGTGGTACCGAGCCGTAGTACCGAGCACAGGGATGATGTGGCGTATTCTGGTTGATCTCCGGATGATGTCCGACATCCGCACAAAATAATTAATCCTCCGTCAGAGTACAAGATTACATCTCACCGAATCACAAAATCAGTAAAAGCAGAAGCCTTAATATTGTCACTACCATGAATGAGAAGAGTTCAAGGCAATATTCAATGTGGCTAAAATTTATATTAAACTAAAGCAGAATTTACTTTTCAGTGTTGGCCCTGAAATCCTTTTTATGAAAAACACACCTCCAAAACAATCTACTAATCCTCATTTTAGTTCAGCATAATAGATTGATTGAAACAACAACTGAAATAGGTTTGCACAACAAAATCTTCAGAAGCAATACAAATCAAACTCAAAGAAAGTGCAAATTAGTTGGAATGTATTTACTGGAAAAATAAGGACTACTTTTTTGCTTACAATTTTCTTGTGTAGATATTAAGGCTTCATTTGTAATGGTTTTTTTAGTGTTTCTTAAAGCAATTTTTTAGTACTAAAAATTGCTTTAAGAAACAGTAAGAAAGTCATCCAACACGAAGCCAAAGTTAAACAAGCAAACTAGTCTTAACATAATTATTCAAAACAAAAGCAAAAATATAGAAGAAATCAATGAAAAATCAAAACTAGTACTAACACCCACAACAGCACAAAACACAAGTCAAAATAATGAAGTGTGTTGATTTTTAATGAACTGCATCAAGCATCTAAAATTGCATATATTATTACCGTAATCTTTCTATTCGATGGAGGCTTATGATCAACTTAGTGTCCGCATGCTGCACAGTAGTGATCCTCCGTCATTGTTGTTCCACAATTATAGCAGAATACATGGCCACACCTTCAGGGAAAAATAAGCCTTAAGATTTCTCTGTAAGCCCATATTCAACAAACAGAAAATTACAAGTCCTCCCTAATATACATGGCTAGTAGAAGTACTAGTTTGGACAGGCTTTCTAGACAACAAAAAATACATTCTACAACAGTTTAGTCAAAGGGCAAACTGTTCAAAATTTATTAGCATCAAGTCATCAACACATTTAAGGTAATTTTGCAAGCATTTTTTGGTAATGCTTGACAGAAATATAATGGAAAAAATGTCAAAAAAATTTAAGTAAAAATGAATGAAATATAATAGATTACCTTTCTAGATTAAGGTTTCTTTAGGGACAACTTCCTTATTGCTTTCTGAAGTTAATTTCCAGTTTAAAAAAAATTGTACTAAAACACTGTTTTAAAAAACAGTCCCAAACAAAGCCTAAATAAAAAACCTTAAAATGCTAAAAAAAAAAAGAAATGGCGGGCTAGCATCATGATTTATAAAGGTCTTCTAGTGATTCTCTTATAACTTTTAAACAATGATCTTAGGCCCTACTAAGGCTTCGTTTGGGACAGCTTCTTACTATTTTTAAAGCAGTTTTTTAGTATGTAAATTTTAATTTTTCTACTAGAAAGTTATTTTAAAAAACAATAAGAAATCAATCTCAAACAATGCCTAAAACTTCAAGTTCCTAATAGAAGCAAACTAGATGATGTTTCCTTTAATTTCAGTTCAGATATTACTCTTTTTATTCTGAAGTTGTTATAAGAAAAATATACTCATTACATACATCTAAAAATGTGCATAATCAAGGCAATGGAAGAACAAATGCTTCTCACATTTAAATAACGATCATCATACTACAAAATTGATGTGGCGTCATAAATATTAAAGATATGCAGCATGAAAAAAAAAAAAGAAGGTAAGTATTAAAAAATGTGTTGTAGATATGTAAAGTTCTCTCATAATCAAGAAAATATTTGAAATGAACATGTCATTTTTCTTTTCATAATATAATTGTAAGTTTAACTAAGGGTTCGTTTGGGATGGCTTTCTAGTTAATTTTTAAAGCAGCTTTCTAGTTAAAAAATTTTAAATTTATGTGCTAAAAAGCTGCTTAAGATGCAGGAAAAAAACCGTCCCAAACTAACTCTAAAAGTCACTGAACAACAGCATGAAGCCATCACCTGCACTTCAACGATAAGCAACCTGACACTTTCTCCACATAAAAGCGGCAAAATGGGCACCTCTTCCAGCCCTGCCTCTTTGCCAATTCCATAAGCATCAAGTCTTCCATGTCTATCTCGTTCTTCCCAAGCTTCTTAAAATCCTCACAGGTCAGCTCCGGATGCCATGGCGACTTGCATTTAAAACAGAAAAAGCGATTGCAGTATGGGCATCCTTCCTTATCCTTCCAAATATCAGTAATCAGAAGAGCAGAGCAATCTTTATACGGGCAATAAAGCTTATCTTTGATCAAAGCATTCGACCAACGATCGAACAACTCGCGCGCAAGAACAGGCTTGCACAATTCAGGTTCCAAACTACCATCTTTGCATCCAGGTTGAGGGCAAGCAATCTTTGCCATATTATTTCTTATCTTCATAGAAACATACGTGCCAATGCACTTCGAGCAGTACCTATGAGAGCAGCCATTGATGAAGATAAAATCAGATATTGGCTTGTCTTGCACGCAGATGCCACAGTGTAGATCCACTGTACGCAAATTGCTCATCGCTCAATCTTTGAGGCTTTCTATACTCAGCTAGCACCTGCAAGATACAGGAAAGTTTTTGGGTGAGTAAAAAAATGAACTTTATACGTTTTTCTTAATAGTTTTCTATTCTGGTCACACTGATATTTTGCTTCTATTACAAACTTTGCCGAATTATTAAATGAAAAATCAGGAAAAAAAACCTATAAATGCTTTCCTGTAAGCAATGCTGCAGAAATCCACAAACAGATAGAAGATACAGCTTCATATAGAGGATCATAGTAAGAAAAAACTGAAAACGAAGCGTCTCAGTTAATTCATATTATTCTCATGCACTTCTTTTTGTATGATATAGAAACTATTAACTTAATTATATTATTTTGTAGTACGAAATACGTTGAAAGTTGAAACCGTCTCGGCTGTTGATCTTTTTTATGGTATTAAGTAAGGTGAAGAGCATCAATGGCTGTATTTGAAGAAGATCAAAACGATTTTCGAGCCCCGGTTTCAGTAAATTTTAAGCTTTATCAGTTAATTGGAGTGAAGCATGATCGAGAAAAGAGTGGAGCGAATTTTTTATTGAAATTTTTACTTTTTAGTTATATATCATTATAAATATTTGTAGTTATTATTTTAGAGTTCTCATTTTATTATAAAACATAAATATAAAAATTTTATTTATTATTCATAATTGAAAATAGTGTCTTGATGAGATACTGAAAATTTTATTTATTTATATATGCAAAGTTTAGAATTTATTAATCGAAAAAAAAAATTCTTTACTTTTTATTTTTTTATTTGTTGTGTATAATAAAGTTTCAGGAAAAATGAGTTCTTGAAAAGAAAGAAGTTAATAATGTTCATACTCAAGTCATTAAGGATATATGTCCAGAAGTTGTTGCTAGTGTTTAAGCATAAGATGATTTGATCAAGTATTTTTATATTGGATTACATTAAGGATCAAATTTAAGCTTAAATTTTTTTGCTTTAGTTATGGATGTTCTTACTAGACAATTGCATAAGGATATACCTTGGTGTATGCTTTTTTCTGACACTATTCTTCTTTATGATATGATTGTAGAGGGACTTGATGAAAAACTTGAATTATGGTGGCCAACTTTAGAGTAAAGGTTTTCGTTTGAGTAAATCTAAAAGTAAATATATGAAGTATAATTTTATTAGTAATAGATCTAATAGTGAGATTGTGACATTGGGTGATCAAGTCATTAAAAAGAGTCCACGTTTTAGGTATATTATGCATTTTGTTCAAAGCACGATGAAATAGATGGGGATATAGAAGAATTCAAGTTGGACGATTGAAGTGGAGAAATGCATCCGGTCTATTGTGTGATAGAGAAATACCCATCAAACTTGAGGAAATTTTTTATAAGATCGTGATGAGACATGCAATTTTTTATGACACAAAATGTTGGTCATTAAAGAGTAGCATAATTTAAGTTTTTTGCGTCCTGGAAAATTCGCAGCGGTAGAGAAATATAAAGATTAATGCCTTAGCTTTGTACGAATATCCAGAACACAAGCAAATGAAAGAGATAAGGGTGTAGCGTTCATAAGAGACACCAGAGTTTTTACGTGGAAACTCCTAAAAAGGGGGAAAAACCACGGGGGCTTGGCCCAGTTTGAATGAATCCACTAGTGCTTGTAATTGATTACAAATGAAGCCCATCCTTAGGAGGAAGGCCTTAGCTCGAAGTAACAAATATACATCATATAAAATGCATTGCATGGTGGAAGTTGGAAGAATCAATGTTGATATGTTTGTTTGGGGCAGCAAACCATAGTCGACGAATGATGTAGATCGGAAGAACCATACTCGACAGGTGACGGAGGTCGGAAGGATCGTAGTCTGTGAGTGACATAGGTCAGAAGGACCGTTGTATTGCGACGGAGGTCCGGAGGATCGTAGTCACCGGGTGACGGAGGTCAGAAGGACTGTTGTTGGCAGACGACAGAGGTCAGAAGGACCGTAGTCGGCGGGCGACGAAGGTCGGGAGGACCGTAGTCGGCGAAGAATGTAGTCGGCAGACGACGGAGGTCCGAAGGACCATAGTCTGCAAACGACAGAGATCGGAAGGACGGTAGTTGGATGACAGTGGTTGGGAGGACTGTAGTTGGCGGACTAGCGGAAGTCCTTCGATGTTCGGCAGACTGGTGGAATTCTGATGGCGGACGACAAACTATGAAAGTCTGACGATGGTCGGCGAGCAAGCGGATGTCCGGCGGCAGTCGATGAACTGGTAGAAGTCCGACGGCGGTCGGAGGACGGATGGAAGTCCGGCGGCGATCGGAAAACTGGTGGAAGTCTGGCGTCGGTCGACGGACTGGCAGAAGTCCGTCAGTGGCTGGCGAATTGGTGGAAGTCCGACGTCGGTAGACAGACTGGTAGAAGTCCGTCAGTGGGCAATGGTTGGGCTGAAGTTCAGCCGCGGTCGGTGAGCTGGTGGAAGTCTGAAGGCGGTCGACGAACTGGCAGAAGTCGAGCCGCGCGGTAAATAGTGAGAACACATGGCACTATTTTGCTGGCGTCCAAACGTAGAGCTACGTCAGGTGACCGGACCAAATAAAAGTTCCGAAAACGGACCTTACAATGAAGCCGAAGAAGGGGGTTCATGGTTCGATCGATTCAACCGGTCAAACTATATAATATAATAAATAATAATAGTATTAATAACTAATTAAATTGATATAATAATATGATAATCTAATATTAAAATTCATCTATCTTATATATCAAATATCCAAATTAAAAATGAGTTGAAGATTTAATAAACAACATAATTCATATTTAATATAAATAGTTTACATATATATTCTTAAATTTAATCCCCCGGTGGTGGTCGGCGGGAACTCCGGCGGTGGTCGGCAGGAACTCCCGTGGAAGTCCGGCGATGGTCGGCGGCAAGAGAGCTCCCAAATTCCTCCCTTCCTTCTCCTCTTTCTCCCCTTTCTCATGAGAAGAGTTGGGGGCTATTTATAGTTTTTTGAGAGTGGCATGACTTGTAAATATATGAAGGATCAAGGGTAAGTTAGGAGTGGTTGGATGGACGGTCGATGTTGAATCCTTTGATCATGAACCATTTGATGGACATTTGAATGTCTTAGTGATGTCGGAATTCAGTGATCTTGGGCTCGTTGGATTCGTCTCATCGAGCCGCTCGATTTGACTATGAGCTGTTATGTTTGAAACCGTTTGGTAATCCAAATTGTGGTTTGAACCTTCCAACAGCGCTTCGGGTCCTTGATTTGGACTCATTTGGGCTCGGATTGAGTCGATTTTGGTGTCATTGGGTCTGTGTTTCCGAGACGCTCAGTTCGACTGTAAGTTTGCTGAAATTGGAATTCATATGATCTTCGATTTAATTTCTGAAGTTTCCAACTTGATTTTGCCTCAAAATTCGTGTTCAATCAAGGTAATTTTTGATGATATATCAAAGTTAAATGTTGTAGAGATGAGGGCGCTCTAGTGGATAATGAGTGGCTTTACACTTAAAGATAAAATGTGAAATGAGTATATATATGCAATGATTGGAGTTTGCTTCAATGACAAATAAGATTAGACAAAGCCGCCTTAGATGATTTGATCACAATAAAACTTCTCCGAGTTAGAAGAGTAGATATATTAAATCTAATATCTCTTAAGAAAAATAGAGATAGACCTAAAAAGACTTTATTAGAAAATATTAAAAAAGGACTTTTTAATTTGATTTAAATGAAAGTTTGATTCTTAATATGACACAATAGAGACAAAGAATTTGTGGCTGACCCCATATAATGGGATGAGGCTTATTAATTGTTATTGTTGTAATCGTAGAAAGCTTCTTGGTATGGAAATTTGTGGCTGACCCCATATAATGGGATAGAGGCTTATTACTGTTATTGTTGTAATCATTAAAAGCTTCTTGGTATGGATTTCATTGGATATATTGTTATTCTTTTCAAGCAATAAATTAAGTTTCATATTTGCTTTTCAAGATAGTCATTGTTTTTGTACCTTAAATAATAATGAAAACAGTTTATTTTAAGACATCCTGTTTAACTAATGTAATATTATGCTGAAACTATCTTTGTTTCTGATAAAGAACATTGAAAGAAACACGAAATGCATATGTAGTTTAGTTTCTCAAATTTTAGTTTATTCTACTATAAATTAAATTAACTAGTGTTGGCGGGCTAGAATATTTGCGGAGTTAGAGTGAGTAAAATTTTCATCTTAGCGATGTATGGATATCCAACACATAAACATGTGATTTATATGAAGAGAGAGAGAGAGAGAGAGAGAGAGAGAGAGCACTAAAACAAATTTTTTATGTGGAAAAACTGAAGAGAGAAAAATCACAGGGCCTCGCCCAGGTGAAAAGATTTCATTAAATTTGAGTGAATTATAAAGGTTGACCCATCCCTTGACTTAGAGGCATTGGGATTACAATAGTTGGGAGAAGGTCCGACGATGGTCGGTCGAAGGTCCGACGACGTCCGGGCAAAAGTTTGGCAGACGGGCAGTGATCTGACGACGGTAGGATGCTCGATGAAAGTCTGGTGGCGATCACTAGCCAAGTGGCTGTCCAACGATAGTCAGGCCAAAGTCCGGCGGCTGTCGAAGGTTGAATGGTGGTCCAATTATGGTCGGGCCAAAGTCTGGCGACGGTTGGTGGCCGAGTATAAGTTTGGCGACAATCGGTGGTCTGACTGTGGTTGGGCAGAAGTCCAGCGGTGGCCAGGGGCCGAGTGACAATCTAGCAGCTGGGCTGTGGTCCGACTATGGTTGGGCGGAATTCCGGTGGTGGTCGGTGGCCAGGGGGAAGTCAGGTGGCCAGGCAGAAAGTCCAGTGACAGTCGATGGAGGTTCACCAATGGTGGTGTTGGAGCTCTTAAAGCCTAAGAGCTCTCACCAATCTCCAGCTAAAGGTGATCCCTTTATGATAGAAAATGCGGATCTATTTATAGATTTTTTGAGTGTCAGATACCATAATTATGGAGAAGATATGGGGCAGGTTTGAAGTGCTCCATCAGATGACCCGCATTAATTCCCTTGATTATAAAATATTTTTCTTGTTTTATGTTCCTTAATAATGTCAGAATTTAGCGATCTTGCATTCGTTGGATTCGTTTCGCTGAGCTGCTCGATTCACCTATAAGAGTGTCATATTTGGATATCATATTTTGTCATTCAATTAATGCTTTAAATTTTTTGAATACTCTTCGAACTCTTGATTCAGACCCATACAGGCTCAGATCAGGCCAATTTTGGTGTCGTTGGGTTCGTCTCGCCGATCCGCTCAATTTGACTATAAGCATGACATATTTTGATATCATTTTGTTATATGATTAATGCTTTGAATCTTCCAAATATGCTTCTGACTCTTGATTCAGACCCATTTGATCTCATATCAGGCCGATTTTGGTGTTATTGGGTTCATCTCTTTGAGATATTCATTTTGACTATACGTTTGCTTAAATCAGAGTTACGTTCAGATGGTTCCAAATTTAATTTCAAAAGTATTTATCCTACTGTGTGGTCAGCTACACGAGTTTTCTTTCTCCATGGTGTTCAATTAAGAGTCCAATTTTCATTTAAATCTAATTAAAAAAGATCATTTCTAATACTTTCTAATCAAAATTTTTGCGTCTATATCCATCTTTATTAATATAGACAGGATCAAACACTACTCTCCTACTATGGTCATCGAAAGACTGATATTTTATGTGACATCTAAGACAACTCTCTTTATCTTATATGTCATTGGAGCAACTCCAACATTTTCAAGTACATACGTCTTTTACATTTTCTCTAATTATAAAGACACTCATTCACTTAAGCATCCTCATGTCTACAGCACATAACTTAATTTTATGATTCTCTTTTAATGGTCAACATTCTACGTAATAAAGTATTGCAAGTCTCATCCTCATCTTATAAAATTTTCCCTTAAGTTTGAGGTTCTTGTCTATCGCACAACAGGCCCTAAGAATTTCTCCACTACAACCATCCAACTTGAATTCTACTAGTAATGTGTCCTCATCCATTACTACAACAAAATTCAAAAATATGGCCGATGATTTTCCATGCAAATAAGCAGCATTGCAGTAGTAATAGCTTTCAGCAACAGTCTTTTCTCGAGAAGATTTATGTTTGTAATTGTATGTTAAAGAACCAATATTATGTTCCAAGTCTTTCATTCAACTTTGCAAACAATGCACTACAAACTGGAAACAATGCATTGTATTTTGCTTGTTGCTCAAGGCAGCTAAAGGTAAGCTAGTACAGGAAACTGAAAGTAGCTCCAGAAGGGCCTAAAATGGCTTCAAAAGAAGATCAGGCTCGTGAGTTGAGAAAACAAAATCATCTTCTAGTTTGCTGAACCTCAAAAAAAGCAAGGATGCCACCTACAAACTGTAAACAAATGAAAATGATAGTTTAGATTACAAAATAAATAAACACGGAAAGTGTGTTAGCTACATAAACAGAAAAAATTATGGATAACTAAAATGACTTGCAAGTTTCAGAGTCGCCCTTAAATCCTTTGCCATGAAAAGCAATGTTTCTAAATCAATCCACAAACCATTCTTTTGGATTGGCATAGCAATTACTTGAAGAACAATAAGTTTGTATTTGAGAAGGCAATTCAATCAAACACAAGTCATAAGCAGTTGGACAATGGAGAGTACAGAAAAATAAGAATTTTTTTCTTGATTATAACATTCTTTTGTACATGTAAAGTAAAACCAAGACGCATCAAAACATGAAATAAACAAGAGTACCATTATCACAAGCAAATATAAAGAAAATCTGAGGAAAGACAAAAAACAAAGTCAGTTCCGATATGCAGTCTGATAGTTAAGTAATCACCGGCCATTGTTGTTCCTCAATTATATATATTTGAATGATTGACCACACCTTCAAGAGAAGAAAAAAAAAGCTTGAGATTTCTTTGTAAAATAAGTTAAAAACAGAAATTTTTAGTCCTTTCTAATAAACATGGCAAGTTTAAGCACCATCTGAAATGAAAATTAGCATCACCTGCACAGTACGTTCGGGCATCCCGACACCTTCTCCACATAAAAGCCGCAAAACGGACACCTTTTCCAGCCTTTCTCTTTTGCCAGTTCCACAAGCAACAAATCTTCCTTCTCCAAGCAATACTGTCGAAGCTGCTGAACATCCTTACAAGCAAGCTTCGAACGGCATATCGAGTTGCATATACAACAGAAACGTCGGCCACAAAACATATTTTTCATCAATGCATTATACCAATGATCGAACAGATCGCGTTCAAGAACTGGCTTGCACATTTCAGGTGTCAAAGTGCCAACTTTGCATCCAGGATGAGGGCATGCAATCGCGGCCGCATTGTTTCTTACCTTCAGCGTAACATACCTGCCGACGCACTTGAAGCAGTAACCATGTAAGCAGCCTTTTATGAGCATGAAATCAGAACCTGACTTGTTCTCCATACAGATGCCGCATTTCTGGGGCTGTCTATAGTTTCTCCACATCTTTCTTTGCAGCTTTCCACACTCAGCTACACCAGCAAGACACAGCAAAGTCTTTTATGTTAAGCAAGGAAAGTAATTTATGTTTTTTTACTGCTCTATTGTGATTGCCCTTATATTTTGTTTCAATCGCAAACTTCGTCAAATTTTATGAAAAACAAAGGAAAAAGTTTTATGCTATCTGCAACTAATCCTACCTGATGCGAGAAAGCCGTAAGCGATACAGAAAACCACAAGAATCAGATAAAAAAAGCAACTTTTTATAGAGGATTAGAAGAAGAATAAATTGAGAAAGGAGCGACGTCTCGATTAACCATGGCAGTACTACTTTCTGGTTTATTTCCGAACTTTGAAGTTTTAACTTAATTATTATCTAGTAGTAAATAAATTGAAATCATATCGACTGTTGATCTTTTTTATGGCCTCAAGGAAGGTGAAGAACATCAATGGTTGAATTTGAAGAAGATCCAAACGATTTCCGATGCCTGGATTAAGCAACTCTTCATGAGTTGATTAACGGTGAAGCATGATCGAGAAAAGAGTGGTGCAATTTTATTTCTTTGAAATTTGTAGCGATTTAACGTTACAAATTTTTATAAATAATTGTTGAACATGAACCATCTCATAACTCGCCAGGAGCTGGAAGACATGAAGTCATCCATAGAATGTTAGCTAAACGCACTTGCAGTATCGAAAAGCCACTTGGTAAAGTTGCCTCTGCCTCACCCAACCCAGCCTACTATAAGATCAACTACAATGTAAAGACAATATAGCCTAATCCCTTAAACTTGTTAGAACAAATTGAAGAGAGTTTAAGAAATACTTATTAAGGGAGTGAATTTAGTTCAAAATCAAGAAATTAATGTAAGATTGTGAACTATGTATGATTAGATGAAATCTAACGTCAATTTCTTGATTTCAAACTAACATCTCTCACGATAAATAGTATTTTTTAAACCCTCTAATTTGCCCTATTGAGTTTAAGGATTAGATATTAGGCTTCGTTTGAGACATTTTTTTATTGCTTTTTAAAACAGCTTTTTTGTATAAAAATTAAATTTTTATACTAGAAAGCTGCTATAAGAAGCAGTAAGAAAGTTGTTCCTAAGGCTCCTGATATATCAGTAAAAAATTATGTTGACCAGGCACGAATCTCAAAGCAAAATTGAGTTATAAGCTTCAAAAATTAAATCAAAGATCATATGATTTCCAATTTCAGCAAACTTATGATTGAACTGAACGTCTCAAAAATATGAGCCCAACGACAACAAATTTGGCTCAATTCAAGCCCAAATGAGTCAAAATCAAAGACCCAAAGTGCATTCGGAAGGTTCAAATCATAATTCAAATTACCAAATAGTTTCCAAACTCAACATGCTTATAGTCGAATCAAGCGGCTCGACGAGACGAATCCAACAAGCCCAAGATAACTGAATTCTGATATCATTAAGGCTTTCAAATGACCATTAAGCGGTCCATGATCAAGGGGATCAATATCGTTTGTCCATTCAAACACTCCCATTTTGACCTTGATCCTCCACATATTTACAAGTCATGCCACTCTTAAAAAATTATAAATAGCCCCCACTCTTCTCATGAAAAAGAGGGGAAGAAGAAGGAAAAGAAGGGAGGAGTTTGGGAGCTCTCCTGCCATCGACCACCACCGGAGTTCATCCCGACCACCGCTAGAGTTCCTCCAGACCACCGCCAGTGTTCTTCCCAACCACTGACGGACTTTTGCCAGTCCATTGATCGCCGCCGGACTTCCACCAGTTCGTCGACCGCCACTGGAATTCCACCTGTCCGTCGATCGCCGCCAAACTTCCGCCAATCCGCCAACCATCTTTGGACTTCTGCTCGTTTGTCGATCATCATTGGAATTCTTCCTGATTGCATTTGGAGTTCTTTCCGGTCACCGACGGACATCCGCCAATCCACCGAACACCGTAGGACTTCCTCCAATCCGGCAACTATAGTCCTCTCAACCACTATCATCCGATTTAGTTTATTTTTTTTTTTTTTTTTTGCCGAATATCCCGACCTCCGTCGCATGCCGAATACAATCTTTTGGACCTTCGTCATTCGCCTACAACAGTCTTTCTGACCTCCGTCATCTATCGACTACAGTCCTTCCAACCGCTGTCACCTGCCGATTACGATCCTCTCGACCTTTATTACATACTGACTACGGCCCTTCCGACCTCTGTCATCTATCGACTATGATCCTTCGGACCTTCGTTACCTGCCGACTACACTCCCCGCCGACTATGGTCCTCCCGATCTTCGTCGCCCATAAACTATGTTACTTCTGACATATGTTGCTTGCAGACTACTATCCTTTCAACCTCTATTGTCATACAATGGTCCTTCCGACTGCCATCACCCGCCGACTATGGTTCTTCTGACCTACATCGCTCGCAGACTATAGTTCTTCCGACCTACATCGCTTGCCGATTATGATTATGCCGCCCCAAACAAACATGTCAACAATGATTTTTCCAACTCTCATCATGTAATATATTATGTATGATGTATATTTGCCACATTAAGCCAAGACCTTCCTCTTATGGAAGGGCCTCATTTGTAATGGACTGCAAACACTAATGGATTCATTTAGACTAGACCAGGCCCCGTGGTTTTTCCCCCTTTTCAGGGGTTTCCACGCAAAAACTCTGGTGTCTCTTATGAATGTTCCACCCTCACTTTTTTTCTGCTTGTGTGCTGAATCTTCGTACAAAGCTAAGACATTAATATTTATATTTCTCTACCGTCGTGAATATTCCATGACGCAACAGCTCCGTTTGGAATATCTTTCTTATTATTTTTTAAATTAGGTTCAAAAAGTTTTTTAAAAAATTTATTTTAAAAAACAATAAAAAAAGTTGCCTCAAGTAAAGCATAAATATTTATAAACCGCTTAGGAATTATTATTTAAAAGTGGCATATGATTACTAATTTATGATCACAGCCTATCAATTTAAAAATATAATTAAAGCCACTTACTAACTTTCACTATTATTAGATTCTTATTTTTTTAATTATGAGGGTTATGTAGAAAATTCTACATGTAATATATACACACACATACAAACAAACAAAAGTATATAATAATTTTAGTATAATTAGTAAGCTATTTGATTATAAAAATATTTTGAAGTACCTTTTTATTTGTTCAATTTGTTTAGTCATTCCATTAGTCGTAATTTCTATCACATTTTACTTGCAATCTTTTAATTTTTCATTTATTTATTTTGTAATCAAAAGAAAGGATCAATTTTGATGTGTAAACAATAATATTTATTTAAAAATGAGTTTAATTAAATAGTTATTATGATATAAACTCTTAATAAAATCATAAATAACCTTAAATATCATTTATAATTTAATTCTAAAAGTAGTTAGTAGATAAAATTTATTTAATTTATATTACAATAAAAATTATTAGGCTAGTATTACATTAAAAAATAATTATAATCATTCATCTATTGAATAAAAATTCGAAAAACTTCTTTTTAAATCTTATTATTTTATTTTCAAGAGGTCTAAGGATCGAAAAATTATTGCGCCCTCCCACCTGAGGTAGAGATACGTCCTCCCACCGCTAAAATCGCGCTAAAAAATAAAAAATACCAAGCAAATACCGAGCAATACCAAATAATAACGAGGAATATCATCATGTGAAGATCAATACCGAGCTATACCGAGCAATACAAAAAAATACCTACTTTTTCCTTGAAAAAACTCGGTATTGCTCGGTATAGCTCGGTATTGCTCGGTATAGTTCGGTATTAGTCTTCACATGATGATATTTCTTGTTATTACCAAATAATAGCTAGCAATACCGAGCAAAAACCGAATGGGACGGTCTTTTTAGTGCTTTTTAAATCAGTTTTTTAGTTCAAATTTTTAATTAAAAAATTATTTTAATAAGAAATAAGAAAGTTGTCTCAGAAGAAACTTTAGACTTTATTTGAGATTGACTTTATTAACTGTTTTTTAAAGTAGATTTTTAGTAAAAAATTAAAAAAAAAAAAATTAAAAAACAATAAGAAAGCAAACAAATATAGTTTAATTGTTCCTAGAAAAGCAATGATGCGTTTTTAAAATGAGATAATCTTATGCACCCAAAATGTTTTTTTATTTTATTTTATTTTTTGAAGCTTAGTTTCAAACAGAAAATCAAACAAAATGATTTTTTTATGATGAATAATTCAGAACGAAATTTAACTTTCATAACTTTAGTAATTTTTTAAAAGCGATTGCATTAATAAAATCCTAACACAGTACAACGATTGAGAGTTAGTGAGCAAAAGCATAACCATACAACATTTCCACAAAAAAAAGGCATAACGGTCACCATTTGCAGCCTTTCTTCTAATCCAGATTCATCATCTTCTTATCTTCTCTCTCACTCTAATTCTTCCCAAGCTTATGAAAATTCTCGCACGTCATCCCTGCATGCCAAGTCGACTTGCATTCAGCACAGAACAGCCTGTGACAATGTGGACACTCAGCCTCTCTAATCACCTCCTGGTTGCCTCTCTCATCAGTGAGCAGAGCAAAGCAATCCATGAACGGACAATAGAACTTATTCTTTATCACGAACACACATAAGCTCATACACCAATGATCAAACACCTCGCGTGCAATCATTGGTTTGCATAACAAAGGATCAAAAGTGCCGTTTTTACATTCTGGAATAGGACAAGAAATCACAGCCATATTCTCTGCCACCTTTGATGAAACATAGCAGCCTACACATCTCGAGCAGAAACAGTGAGAGCAGCGGTTGAGGAAGAGTAGATCAGAAAGCGGCTTGTTTTCTTTGCAGATGCCGCAGATAAGCTTACTTTTAGCAGGATTGGAGGTATAGGGGACGAGATCTGAGTTGTCTTTTTCTGTTTTCATGGCTTTAGTATGGTTCTGAAAGTGAGATTCTTCTTTTATGTTTCTGATTTTCTGATACTTTGCCTGCGAATGTGAAAGAAAAATTTGTTTTTGATGAAATGCTTTGAATAGCAAACTCTACTTCTCTTTCGATTGACAAAGCAAATTAATAAGATTCTTCCGGTAATTTACTTGGTGAAAAATGAAATAAGAGTAATATTCTAAGAACCTTAAAATAAATATTCTGATTCAAAACTTACCCGAAGAACTTTTCTTATGAGATGACGGAAGAAATCTCATAAGAAGAGAATGGAAGGTAACAATTACAATGCAATTACAAGCAATAACAACTTGAAAAAAAAATAAATTTGAGTGTACAAACATAACTTGGAGATAGGATTTGATCTCAAAATATCAAAAATAAATTTCAAAATCCTTACCACTGAAACAAGCTAATTAGCTAACCGGACAAACAGCAAAAACCCGATAAGGATAGTGGAAGGTGCAGACGTTATATAGAGGATTTGAGGAAGCATAAACTGAAAACGAAGCGTCTTAATTAAAGATGGCTTTACTTTTCTTCGTTAATCTCATCATTTTGATTTTTGTGAAATCAGAGAGAGAGAGAGAGAGAGAGAGAGAGAGAGAGAGAGTTGTGATTGAACGAAGCTGTACCGATGAAGAAATCTTGGCTGTTGGCCATTTTAACGGCATTAAGGTGGAAAAGATCAACGGTCGAATTTCAAACGCTGGAAGTAAGGGGGTCGAAACGATTTGGACTGGATTTGAGCTTATTTCAGTTAGCTAGCTAGCTGGAGTTAGGGGTGTCAATATTTGACACGACACGAAAACCCGACCCGCACCCGACCCGAAAAATCCGGGTTGAACCCGACCCGTTTGAAAAACGGGTCGGGTTCGGGTTCACAGATTCGACCCGTTTGACAAAACGGGTCGGGTTCGGGTTGACCCGG